CTTTGGCTATGAAGATCTGATTGTTGTATCATGTATGCAATAGCTGGTCTATAATAAGGTTGTCTTTTGGTTCATTTGTTTAGTGATTTAGACACATGGTTTTATTCTGCCTGTTCCTTTCAGAATAAGTAGCAAAGACTTTCTGATTGTCTCGTTTGTACCATTGTTTTGACTTCTCCTTCGTCTCTCCTTTTTAAGGCAGCCTGCTGAGCGGGTTAATACCAAGGATTTAGTGGGGAATGTAGTTTAGTTAAATGTATACTGCTTTTAAATGATATAGAAGCATCCGAGCACTTGGCTCATTGGTTGGTACATGATTCTTTGCTTAAAGAGCAGGGTTCGAATCCCCTTCCCCCAATTAAAAAAAAATGATTTAGAAACCATCTATTCTGTTCGCAATTATCTTCTGAGGGGTAGCATTAAATGATTTCTATCTGCATTAAATTGTTGATTGATTGATATATCTGACTATTTTTTCATGGAAGCATTACAAAGGTTGTATGTCTAAATAACTAAATCTCTTGTTCTTTCTTTTCTCATGTGGTTTCTTGATTATCCAGCATTCATACATACTATTGGTTGATGTGTTGTTAATATTTATGTTTGTACCATAATATATCTGATGCTTCATGAACCTTTTAAAACATTTGAGTGCCCTGCGCAGATCAAGTTTGTTCTATGGTGATTATTCTGCAGGTTAAGAGTTTGACAAGCAACATTCAGCTGATATTAGATTCCTTGCGGAGTTCAACTATTGTGGAAGTACAGGTATATTCAGCATTGCAATAATTATTAAGCAACAAGGGAAATGCCTTATTAATTTTAAAAATTAGCTTTAAGTTTCAATCAAGTTTCTTGTTGACTGGAAATCCTTGTATGACCTTTTAGTCTTGTAGGCAGTGGCATTGAGTCCAAGAAACTGGCAATAAATTGCCGGGCTGATGCTCTTTTTACAGGTTTGTTTTGACTGTTATTGAAATATCTGCAGGATGACAAAGTGAGGAGGCTTAATGAGTGGATGAAATGGATACCTTCTCGGGTTTCCACAGAGTCAGGCATACTATCTCCAGGTGCATCAAGTTCTGATATGCTGGCAAGTTCTTTTCAGCAGATTACAGTGAAGGAAGGGTCTATTAACCAAAGTAAGGCAGGTAATGTGAACCCTCATTCTGAGGACACCTCAGGAAGACATCCATCCGAGCTGGTTGGCCACTCTCAACTCTGCAATGGGGAGGGTTCCGAAGACACATGTTTGGACCAAAACTGATAGATCTACACCACCAGAAAAGCACAATCCGGTCAGGATGGTGTGCTTTTTTTTTTTTTTTTTGATTCAACAGGAGTGGATGCTACTTCAGAAGGGATGGGACACCTTTTTCTTTTATTTTCACCATCGTCTTACTCAGTTTTGACGGTGTTTTGATGAGGCAACTAGAGGCAAACAATAAGAAAGATACATAAATTTATCTTTGAAAGATAGAGAAAGAGAAGAAAGTGAGATATAAACAAGAGTTAGGTTATTGACTGGGGAAGAAATTATGAGGCTGTTTGGTTTGTATAGTTTTGCTGTTGGTATGGAGTGGACGACTGTGTTATTTTTTTGGTCAAGTGATGACAGGTGCAGCATTCCAGGGGAGAGGAATTGGAATTGTCGTAAACATGGCTGAGAATGTTTTATTAACTATCTAGGTTTCTAGTTCTTTTGTTTTTCCATTTTTTGGATTTGTTCCTGCCTCACATTCTTAAGTTATATATATTCTACATACTTTTATACATTTTTTTCCCTAAGTTATTTTCTTATGCTCTTCCAGCAATATTTACCCATCTTCTCCGATTACTTTTTATCATGCTTGTGTTTCCGCAGTTCCCATTGTCGTTGATGGCTCTTGGATGTGCCTCTAGTCGGCTTCAAATTTCATGCTTGAATAGGTCTAATTAATTACCCTTACTCATGAACGTACAATGTATCGCTGCTCGCATTGTCCAATGAGCTAACAAAAACAGTGGCTGGATTTCAGAATCGCCATAATCCACTGTGATTATTTCTAGTAGTACATTCATTTTACATAAAAGGAGAGAGTAACATTTGGACATCTGCGTGGCAGGGCGTGTCATCACCCAACAGTGAGAGACTGTCAAGTTGAGCATGGGGAATTGATGAAGGTGATAGAGTTCAAAACTGACAGCTGTAATGTGTCAACCATCAATTTGACAAGACTCTCTGACTCGTTCTTTCACTGTGGCATCTGTGTCTACCAGGAAGGATTTTATAAAAGGAGAGCAGAGAGGGAGATCGAATCCCCCACTTGGTGAACCAGGGTGTTTGTTTCCTTTGTCACTGGGAACTGGGAAGAGCTGGATACATTAATTTCTTCATCCCCTTAAAGAGCATTAGTTACAGTTTTCATGTTGTATGTAACTTTCTTTCTGCCAAAATGTACCTCATAAATCCAAGATGACCATAGCTTTTAATGGTTAGCCAACTTTTGCAATGAAAGTGGACCTGTTTCAACTGCTCAATTTCCAAATTAAGGACTAGTGACTGCTTAATCCTTACTTTCAGTAAATTGTGTAGTCTCTTTTTTTTGTTTTGTTTTACATTCTTTGATGATTATGGGTTCTTTTAACCTTCCATTCTTGGGTTCTATCCAATTAATATTCTTACAAAAACTATGCATTATCGATTTTTAAGAAAATTTTTATTTCCTTGAATTTAATATTTCATATGTTAATTAACAGAAAATAGAGAGAAAATACTTGAAATGGGACGGACATTATTGCGCAGTTCCCGGTCTTTTCTGTTTTTGGTTTTTCCCTCTCTCTATGTTTTCCATAGGCAATTGGACATGACATGGAAACCAACTCGTTGATCCTCCATGGCTCTAGTTCCGTGCGAAACTTGCAGAAGACAGAAGTAGGTGTTTAGGTACGGATTTGCGGATAAAACACAGAAAAGCTTTCGTCGAACTGTAAAGAGTTAAAGGGCAGTGTTAGAAGTGGTGGAAGGACAAAAGGCGCAAAGAAGAAATGTGACATGGTTTAAGACTTGCGAGCTTTGTTAAATGGAATCTCTCTCGAGTGCAACTTGCAGTCCCAGGCGCAGACGGCCGCCGTGGATTGACAGCCCGGTACTCAATTGTCCATGCTTATCATTTTAGTGACAGAGACTTAACGAGCACTTTTATCTTCCTTTCCCCCACCCAAACTCTCCTCTCTCTCTCTCTCTATGGAGAATAAAGCAAACATGGGCGTTGTTCTGAGTTCTAACTTTCTACTCATTGTCCATTTGCTGAGGTGACATTTATCTGTGGTCACAACACACAGATACCTTAGTTTTAGACCCGGAATTCTTACAGTTTGGACACAGACAAAGAGAGAAGGAAAAGAAAAGATCCATACAAAGATGTCTACCCATCCTGTCAAATCACATTTTTTTCCCTCGTATGTCTCTTAAATTAACATGCTTTAAGTGGTCATTCTGCTATAAGATTTCATCTAACCGAAAGGCTAAGCAGTGGATGCGAACAAATTTATCAAAATCAATGGCATAAGATACCAAATGCAAATTCTTAAGTTCATCGTTGCTTCCAAAAAAGAAAAGAGAAAAGATCCATCCCAGGAATAAACGAATTGTATGGTGGGTGTCAAGGTATCATCTTTTTAGAACCCCTGGTCCTTCCCTGGACGTTGAGGGCAACAATAACATGCTTTCACACCCCCTGTGACTGTGAAACCAAAACCGAACATCTTCTATCAGTCGGACTCTCTGGAGGTTTCCATTTCGAAAGTTCTGCAACCCCTTTCTGGCAAGTGGAGAGTTGGCCAGCCTCATCGTTCATTGCTTACAGTCCTCTCCAGCTGCCATTCTTGGTTTCCTTTTCGCTTTTGGGGGGTCGCGTACACTGTGCAGAAGCATGGGTGCTGAGCCATTGCTCTGGCACATCACAATAGAAATTAATGGTTCCTTGGGCCAGTACAAATTTGGGAAATTACATTTGGGGTATCTAATCAAATAAAAACAAATTAATGTCCGGTGATTTTTTTTACAAAAATAATTTAATGGTGCAATGAGTAATTTTTTAGTGTAATAAAAAAATTAATGAATCACCAAAAATACCCTTCAAGAAAAATAGGCACAGGTTGTAATGTAATATACCTATTGATATAATAAATTTTGTAAATGTTTAGTTACTATAGACTAATATACATATTATTGTGATAAGATATATATTCTTATAGTAAAATGTACATGTATTAGTTCCAGTGTACATGATAGTTTCTCAGATGTTTTAATATATAGTTTCTTAGATGTTTTAATATTATAATGTAAATATTGTATATATTAGTGTTATAAAATGATATGTATATTATTATAATAGAATATGCTTGTCAATTGCCAATTATGTATAAAATGTGTGAAATTTTTTGTTTGGTTATTTCATTATAAGCTAATGTATATAGTATTTTAATCGAATATATAATTGATTTAGCTATCGTGTACAAGATACTTGAAACAATTTCTTACATGCTTTAATTATTGTAAGTGCAAGAAGACTACACCATCGAACTGTAGCTTTAGTCTTAATCTAATTTTTTGAGATATAAACGAAAATAAATTAGATATATAACCGCATCTAAAAATTAAAAAAAAAATAATCATGAAAGAAGTTCAAATTATTATAATGTTATGTATATATATTATGACATGATATATATTTTTCTCAATTATTATGTACAATTCATGTCGATCTAAATTTTGTTTTTTTTGGTATGTTAAAACCCAAAGCAAGTAAAGGTGTTTTTTTGGCTTAACAATAAGTATCAGAATACACTTGAAATATATAAATTACACATAAAAACATCCAACGGTAAAAACTTTAGATAAGACCGCCAGCTGACAATTTACTTGCATGCCATTACACCCAAGTGTAATTTTCCCTACAAAATACGATATAAAAAGGGTATGTCGTAAAAGTTCATTCGTCCTCTTATTAAAGTTTAATACTAAAAGTAGTACAAGTATGAGGATTGGTATCCTTAACTTTAAAATTTGAAAAAATTACTTAGCATGGTACATTTATGCATCACACCATAGGCCACTAGGACGTGACATCTCTTCAGTCGGATTTTCCCATCTCCTCATTATCTCTCCTACGCATTTCTCTGTTAAGCATGTGGGCATCAGCAGGTGGAAACAACAATAATAGCAGCAGCTACATAGGGTGTGGTAGTTCACCTTCAAAATCCTCCTCCACCTGCTCCTCCCCTGCACCTTGTTCATCACCATCTTCAAATACCCTTAACCTGTCAGCAAAAAAATCCATGGAAGAAGTCTGGAAAGATATAAGCCTAGCTTCTCTAACTGATCACCCTGCAGGAACTGTCCTCTCCTCCACAACCAGTAACCCTACCTTTCCTAGCATGATCTTTCAAGACTTTTTGGCTAGGCCCTGCAACAAAGAACCTCCAAGAAGAGGTAGTGTCTCCATCGACACATCCCTCGCTGAAGAAACCACCCTTTATGGCTCTCTAGCACCCACTCCTGGCACCCTATTGAGCTTGAATTCTGGGTCTGATTTCATATCCATGGAAAGTAGTGGAGATCCCGTGAGGCCAAACCCAGCAGTCAATGGTCGTACCGGCGTTGGAACTCCAACTTTTGGTTCCTCTCACAACTCTACTTGTCATGCGTTTGGCTCTTCTGCAGTTTTCCCTTCTTTCTGCCTTAAAAGGGCTAAAGAAAACAAGGAAAATTCCAACGATCGGCGGCATAAGCGCATGATGAAGAACAGAGAGTCAGCTGCTCGGTCAAGAGCCAGAAAACAGGTAAAATCTCTTTTCACTTTCTCCCCCCCCACACACTAACATGCCCAGGAAACTGATATGAAAATTCTACTAATAAGACAATTACTGGATCCTGGAGTATTCCCCATGACGTTCTTTGTGAGTTCCTGTAATTTGAGTGCCTCAGGCTTACACAAATGAATTGGAGCTTGAAGTTGCTCATTTACTGGAAGAAAATGCTAAACTTAGAAGGCAGCAAGAGAAGGTGATATATCAGTTTTGCTTGACCTGTGGTTCTAAAAGGGTAAGGTACAGTCAGTTGATATAATTATAATGCGTTTTGCACTCTTGTTTCGCAGTTGTTGGCAGCTCCTGCTCAGCTTCCCAAAAAGAATACTCTCAGTAGAACTTTAACTGCTCCATTTTAAGATGTAAGAAGGCAGCCATTATTCTTCTTAGTCTCTGTTTTTCATGCCCTTTTGTTTTTGTTCTCTATCATCCAGTTGACCAAACAAATCACTTGTCCGTTAGATAGAGATGCTTTTAAATGGGCTAAAACAATAGGCAGGGTTTTTGGTTGGATACGTCTCTCTCAACTATCCAGTGGTTGTAAAGAAAAAGGGCAAAAAAGAAAAAATTGTAAGGAATAAAAGAACGGCCTGTTTTGGGATCCCAGGCCGCAGGGAGAAAGCCGTTGGTGGGGTGGTTCCCTAGTTTTTATATCTATCCCTTGAATCCCTGGACTTTTGTTTTTTTTTAGTTTTCTTGATGTTTGCTTTCTCTTTTACGAATGAGGACAAGGAGGTTTCAATGAAAGACAATTAATGCTTAAAGCGAAAGCACCATAGGTAATCTGTTTGCCTAATAAAGATGTTAACAGTGTCAAAGATGGGACATGTTTGGCTATCAATATCAGTATATCACCACTTATTCCTAACCTTATCTCTGCCTGCTCCTAGTCTTCGTTCACTCTCCCGCATTCCCTATTTCATTGCTCCTCCTGCCCCAATCAAGATTGGTCATACTGCTGTTTGGTTTGAAAACATTTCTAACTGGAGGCAGAGGGTAGGGGTCAAGTGCACAGTGCACAGTGCACCAACAAATTGAGTGCCAACAAAAAGCTTACCCCTGTAGTAAAACCTGCTAAACCCACTCGGCTTGAACAATCCTGACACTCAGGACTGTTTCTTCTTCTTTTTGGTATATATTAGTGTTTGATGAGTGAATATGAGTAATGGATATTGTAAGATACTTTTTGCCGAAAAAGCTATTGATTCGAATGGGTGGTCGTTCCGAAGTCATGCCACGACGCCCCTTGGGCCCCCACGGCTTTCAAAACCTTTGGTTAAAATATTGGCCTTTCTCCATTTAATAAAAAAAAAAGGTACTATTAGTAGTATACTTTTACTTGAGACTTTTTTAAAAACCCATTGCATGACCTCCTTTTTATAGTAGTTAAATTTTTTTTATTGTAAACTCTGGGTAATGCTTTTAATTCTAATAGAGGAAAGGGATTCTATTGATGGAAAAAAGGAAAGGCCCTCAGGTTTTAGCCTGCCTCATTTTTGTTTAAGTGTTATTCTTTCTTGTTGTTGGATGTGGACGCCATTCATTGCCATGGGTTTAACGTTAAGTTTCCGAAAGCACGAGTGTCTCTCTTTTTCTTTTTGGGGTAATTTAGCTGTAAATTTAATTTAATATTTTCATAAATGCAAACGGTAAAAGTAAAAAAAAAAAAAAAGACAAACTCTCTTTCAAGGTTGACAACCTAATGCTAAAGTAGGTCCCTCCATTTGTTCGACCCAATTAAACTTCGGCACTTTGTGGGCCAGCCGGGGTCCATTTGAACTTGGTTTGGGCCCACTAGCCACGTGATTTCCGGCCCATTCACTCATTAAAATAAAAGAAAAGAAAAGCCATTGGAGAGAATCTCTGCCCGGCGCCCGTTCGGCCGTTTCCGACCTCCCGTCCTACGCTCGACTGCGACCAGTCTCAGCGTCGGGTCGGATTTTTTATGGGAAAAAGAAAAATGGGACTTGAAAAATAATTTCCAACGTAGAAAGAGATGGAAAGAAAATTTAGCTTTCCTCTCTGGGTTAAGAGGCGATGATTGTCAACCCTCCGATTATGAGATCCTTTGCAGTCCCCTTTTTTCGGGCCAAAAAGAACCAACGTGAAGAACGAGCTCGGTTAGTACTCTCTTTTCACCCAAAATCAACGTTTGCGGTTTGCCCGGTCTCTGTCGTAAACCTCCATAAATGGACATGCAGCAACTGCACCTTTCAGACCTTTTTTTAATTAATGTCGCTGTTAGCAGTGGAACTACCTGACTATTTTTAAATTAATACATGATATCTGTTGGAAGTAGAACTACCCAAGTCATGTCATTAGCCTTAAGCACGTGAGTGACCAATTTCACTAAGATTGTTGCTTAAGGAAACAACAAGGGGGCGACTATTCATTATGGCTGATTGATGTCTTAATCATGATTGCTAATTTTGCATTTTGCACCCTTTTCTGTTTTTCTCGAATCAAAGCTTGTTGTCGTTTCCATAAAAAGAAAGAAAATGAGGCGAAATTTTTAAAAAAATGTTCGATTTTATATTTTAAGATGAGCGAAACGAAAATTACTTTTTAATTATTATATAAATTAAAATCATATATCGAACAAAAATAAGATAATAATTAGAAGAATCAGGTTTCCATCGGTTGTTTCACTTCAAATCTCTTATCTTGTTTCCCGTATCTTATTCCCTGTTTGAAATTGACATTAATAGTTAAAATAATAGTAGACAGCAAGTACATGCAAAGCGATTGTGAAAGTGAGAGAAATCTAAGTAGGACGAGAGAATAAGTTTTTTTAAAACACAATATTTAAAAAAAATTGAAATTATTTTAATAAATTTACATAAAATTTAATTTTTTTATTATGTTCAATTTAAACATCTAAACAATAAATACATGCAAAGCAATTGTGAAAGTGAAAGAAATCAAAATAGGACGTGGAGAATAAGTTTTTTAAAACATAATATTTTTAAAAAAAATTATTAAATTATTTTTAATAAATTTTTATTTTTTATTATTTTTAATTCAAATATATATACTTTTGAGGCATTTTAAAAAAATAACTCTTATAAATAAGATGTTTTTAAAAATAGTCTTCTTTATAATTTTAATTATTTTTAACTAAATTAGATAAAATTATCCTTAATGAAATTACACGTTAGGATGTTATACATCGTGTACAGAAACATGTTATACGCCATGGTTAGGTTGTTACATGTCATGTACAAAAACGTGTAACACACCATGGTTAGGTTGTTATACGTAATGTACAAAAATATGTGACACGTCATGGTTAAGGTGTTACACGTCATGTACAAAAACATGTTACACGCCATGATTAGGTTGTTACACGTCATGT